TGTACAGAAGTGCCATGAATCATTAAGAAAGATAACCCAATGGAAAAACAAGCAGGAGACTAAAATAAGCATTTCACAAAGATGATGTTGAAATGGGCATTAACCACCCCCCCCCCACCACCAAAACATGGTCAGCTGCACACTAATGGCTTACAAATGAAAAACTAAAAAGATCTGACAATACCAAGTGCAGACAAGGATATGGAACTCCTTGAATTCCCTTAGGCTGCTGATCGGCACATAAATTATCATTTTGGAAACTGGCAGTATTTAGTAAATACGAATGCGGGGGCACCTGGGTGGCTCAGTCGGTTGAGTGTCCAGCTTCAGCTCAGGTCATGATATCACGGCCCGTGGGTTCAAGCCCTGCGTCGGGCTCTGTGCTGACAGCTCGGAGCCTGGAGCCTGCTTTGGATTCTGTGTCTCCCTCTCTCTCTGCCCCTAACCCACTCGCATTCTATCTCTGTCTCTCTCAAAAATAATTAAATATTAAAAAAAAAAAAAATTGAAAAAAAAACCGAATGCGTACATTGACCCCATGACAAACCGATACCAATCCTAGGTATATGCCAGCAGAAATGTGGACAAACATATCCTGAACACAGACACAAGCTTACTCTAGCAATACTGCTCATGGTCCCTCCAAATTGGGATCAACCCAAATGTACCCAGGGACAGGATGCTACACAACCCAGGTAGCCTGGATCTGTTGCAATTTATACCTGTTATCCTGGCATAATTGTTTATTGAGCTGCCATATCTCTCAAAACTGGCTAGTCTCTGAAGTGTCCTGATGAGTTCATCAGTAGAAATGGTAGAGTAAAGGACCTCAAAAAACTGCTCCTCTGTGAAACCAGTAACATCAGCAAAAATCTTCAAAATTGGCTTTTTCAGAGCTCCAGCAACTAATTAGGTCTTGCAACAATCAGGTGCTTCTATTGGAAAAAAGCAATAGCTGAGTCTCAGAACAGAAAGGTTTGAGGACATTTTCGCTTGGCTTATTCCCGTCTTCATCTCCCCATCTCCACAAGCATGTGAAAGACAGCGGCCTAGCAACCACTGGAGGGGGCAGTGAGCTCCCACAAAACAATGTCCTCAAAGAATTGTCATCATTTGACATATGACAGTTCGCAGGAAACCCCCATTCACAGGGCTTGTTGCTCTTTGACCTCAGAACTCACTTGTGCAGCTAGTCATTACTCCAAGGGGAGTTTCTGAAAACTAATCAGGAACAACTGTTTAATATCACAGCTGCCTGAGACAGTGATGACAGTTGGGGCAAGAAAAGAAGCTAACCAAGAAACTTTTTTTTAATGTTTATTTATTTTTGAGACAGAAAGACAGAGAGAGAGAGAGAGGGGGAGAGAGAGAGGGAGAGAGAAAGAGCAGGAGAGGGGCAGAGAGAAAGGGAGACACAGAATCTGAAGCAGGCTCCAGCCTCTGAGCTGTCAGCACAGAGCTGGACATGGGGCTCGAAACCCCAAACGCTGATATCATGACCTGAGCAGAAGTCAGACACTTATCTGACTGAGCCACTCAGGCACCCCGGGAAGTTTTTTAATAGCTGGGGAATAAGATATTCATAAGCTACCCATAGTCCAGGGAATCTAGAAAGTCATGTACATGTATAAGACTGTGCATACATTCACAAAACCCTAAGAAGGCCCTACCCTCACCCCTCTGGCTGCCCTTGAGACTCTGTGCAAGCAGAGGTGAAGGCTAAGGCAAGTTATTAATCAGCTGTCTGAGTGTTGAAGACATAGAAGTCCTTGGGAAAGAATGGATGTCTAATCGCTTCCAGGCATTTAAGGAAATCTTTGCAATCATTTGCTGACTACTAAACTAACTGAGCAGAGACTTCAGTAGCCACACATCACAAAGAATAAATGTTTTATAGATTTCAGGAAAGGCAGTTAACAAACAAGCAAGAGTCACAACAATCAACTACAACAAACACTGGGGGGAGAGGGGGGACCTGGTTTCAAGAGTCACCACATTATATTATTTAACATGGAGTTTTCAACCAAGTAGCTGTGAAACATGCAAAGAAACAACCAAACATGGAACACACACAAGGAAAGAAACAGTTAATAGAAACTATCCCTAAGGAAGTTCAGATAGTAGACTGCTAAACAAAGACATTAAATCAACTATTTTGAATATATCCAAAGGACTAAAGAAAATCATGTCTAAGGAAGTAAAGCATAAGAATGATAATCTCACCAAACAGAGAATATCCATAGAAAATTAAAAAAAAATTTTTTTCAGAGAATCAAATACAAATTCTAGAGTTGAAATGTAGAAAAACTGAAGTGAAAATTTCACCAGAGGAACTCAACAGCAGATTTGAACTGGCAAAAAAGAATCAGTGAACTTGAAGTAGGTCAACTGAAATTATCCAGTCTAAGAAACGGAACAAAAAAAGAATGAAGGAAGATGAACAGAGTCTCAGAGACTTGCACTATCAAGCTTGCTAACATAAACATAATGGAAGTCCTAAAAGAGAAGAGAAATGGAAAGAAACCTATTTAAAGAAATTATGGTTGAAAATTTTCCAATTGTGGTTTAGACACATGCATCTAAACATCAAAGAAGCTCAAAGAATTCCAGGGAGAATAAACTGAAAGAAATCAATACCTAGAGACATATCATAAGCTGTTTAAATACAAAGACAAAATTCCCAAAGTACCAACAGAGAAGCAACGCATCTAATAGATTTTTATTTTATTTTGAGTGGGCTCCATGCCCAAAGTGGCACTTGAACTCATGACCCTGAGTTTAAAAGCTGCATATTGTACCAATTGAGCCAACCAGGCGCCCCAAGAAGCAACTCATCTATACAGGGGATCCTCCTAAGATTAAAAGCTGATTTCTCATCAGAATCCATGGAGGCCAGATGGCAGTACAAGAATACTTTCAAAACACTGAAATAAGAGCGTCCGTCGAGAATTCTATATCCAGCAAAACTATCCTTCAAAAATGAAGGAGAAATGCAGACATTCCCAGATAAACAAAAGTGTCCTGGCTTGGATGATAAGATCCAGATTTACTCTATCCAGCTAGTAGCCTGCATGTGTGTCTGTGGGTGAGGAATGGCTTATAGGGTGCTAGAAATTTCTGTTTCTTGACCTAGGTGGTGGTTATGTATTCATTCTGTGACATTTCACTGACCAATACATTTCTGTTTTGTACACTCTTATTTTTTTTTTCAATGTTTATTTGTTTTTGAAAGTGAGAGAAAGAGTGAGAGAGAGCAGGGGAGGGGCAGAGAGGGAGACAGAGGATCCAAAGTGGGCTCTGCACTGACAGCAGTGAGGCTGATGCAGGGCTCAAACTCACAAACCAAGAGATCCTGACCTGAGCCAAAGTCAGACACTTAAGCAACTGGGCCACCCAGGCATGCCAGATCATAATTATTTTAATGATGGAGGAGGAATAAGCAGAGGTCCTTTTTTTGTAATTTTTTAAAATGTTTACTTATTTTTGAGAGAGAGAGAAACAGAGTATAAGTGGGATAGGGGCAGAGAAAGAGGGAGACACAGAAGCTGAAGCAGCTCCAGGCTCTGAGCTGTCAGCACAGAGTCGGATGTGGGGCTTGAACTCACGAACCATGAGATCCTGACCTGAGCCAAAGTCGGACACTTAACCAACTTGGCCACCCAGGTACCCTTTATGTGTGCTTTACCTCATTGATTGATTGATTGATTTTAAATTTTTTTTAATGTTTATTCATTTTTGAGACAGAGAGAGACAGAGCATGAACGGGGGAGGGTCAGAGAGAGAGGGAGACACAGAATCCGAAGCAGGCTCCAGGCTCTGAGCTGTCAGCATAGAGCCCAACACGGGGCTTGAACTCACGGACCTTGAGATCATGAGCTGAGCCGAAGTCGGACACTTAACTGACTGAGACACCCAGGCGCCCCTTTACCTCATTGATTTAAAGAAAAACAAAAAACAAAAAAACAGATGCTTTTGGCTGTCCACACACAAATGACCACTTTATATTTCTCACTTTAACTGCCCAAATGCAAATAACTTAGGGGCCAAACCCAGAAACTTGGTAAAATAACCTATTATTCTTTCCCACGCCTTTAATCCAGCTCTCTTTTCTGCATGGAATATTCTCACTGGCCATTGCCCCAATTCATCCTTTAATATTCATGACCAGGCCTTCCTATACTACAAAGATCTATCCCTGTGTCTATCTCCCATGTCACATATGAACACTTTTGAGAGCATGAACTGTGTCAAAATCTTCTTGTTCTCAATAGCACCATGAGAAGCATGTAGGAAGCACGGACTACAAGTTGCATTACAAGTTGCATTTCTGCATTATGGAAATAAACGAGGGCAGCCTTCCTAACTACCACAGCAAGAAGTTCTGGCAGAATGCATCAGAACTGACCAAACTCAAACAATTCCCCATAAAAGCAAATGTTAACCCTGCAGTGATTAGCAGGTTTTTTTTTTTTTTTTTTTTTTTTTTTTTTTTTTTTTAAACACAATTAACACTCCAACTTCAAGAACACTGGGTACAAATTTCTGATAAGATGAGGAAATTATTCGGGTACAGCTAGTCATTTCTGGGATGTCACGGTTTTATTTTATGAGTAATGTTAGAAGAGAACATTATGATGAAAAATTTTGACAGCTCAAATCATTTCTAAATTAAGGAATTCATCATCTTTTTCTGAAGCTCTTCACAAATGGTATTGAGACTACATTGACGAATCCCTCAACCCACGGCAAAGAGCGCAAGCCTCTCAAATTCAACTCACATCCTTCCGTAGGCTTCCCATGGAACCTTCTGGGTGACTTCTCTCATTTCTGAGTTCAATACAGATGTTTATTCTGTCATGGATCATTTTTTTTTTGTTTCTATAATGAGCAGAAGATAAAAACCCACTAGAAAAGGAAAACAGGGTGGAGTACCACAGGCCGGAGAGGAAGATGTCTGGTTTGGAGGTTTGAAATGCCTACACGGGAAGCGCCCAACAAACCTGAAAGAGGAAAGCATCACCCAGGGAATTGCTGAGGCAGAAGACGAAGTCCTTCTTGGGGTGTTCAGGCACAGCCTGCACGATGCTGTTCTCCACCCACACGGCGTGCTTAGGGATGCTGTTGTGGTCTATTCCAGACCTACCATCGCTCTCATAGAAGAAGAGTGTGCACCCTGAGAAAACAAAACAGGGGTCTGCGTGAGTATTCAGCGCTTGTGCAACAAAAAAGTCAGTAGAGGAATCTATTGTCTGTGTCCCGTCACAAGGAAGAGTCTGGAAATTAAAGTGCGTGGAAACCGAGGGAGAAAAGAATGGGGTTTTGCTTGTACTGAAGTCTTGGATGGACTGAGAGGAAGGCAAAGATTTTTCAATCACTGTTTCTCAGGCCACATGAGACTCCCTCATGTACGCCCTCAAGTTCTTAAAGACCCTGAATCTCTTAAGAGTGTTTCATCACAGGTGTGCTCATAGGCATATGGGGGTCCTACAGCAACTTTGGCCAATGGTGGCTAGGAACCCGGCGCAACTGGTCAGAACTAAAACTACGGCTGTGTGAGGACCACCAATCAGTACTGGCCCACTGGAGTCCCTTCCCAGTGGCTCACATGATATACAACCAGGCAACACAACTCTGGGGGTTTCTTGGCTAGGCCCTTGGAGGAAACAACTCACAAAACTAGCTTTGGGTGCTTTCAGGATAAGGAAAGAAATGATAGATTTTTTTATTCAAATATGTCCTACAGAATGTTCTTCTAGAAATAAACCATGTCCTGTTCCTACTGAAAGAAAAAATGGCATGGCGCACATATGAAGGCCTGGGGCGGTGGGGGGGGGGGGGGGGGGCGGTGCTCAAGACCTGGTCCGAACTTAATGGCCCTGTGAAACTAATGAGACAGAAACAATAAAAACCTCCCATAGATTTATGCCAAGGTGGCTTCAGTGAATGGCCTCCATGGTCTCCTTAACGTGAGGCTCACTTTCATAGTAATTATTACCTGAACATTTACTGTCAACTAATCAAAACCACTTTCAGGGAAAGCGTGGGCCCCACTTTATGTGACTGACAAAGCCCCTGAAAGTACAATCTATTCAGCCGTAAGAGGGGTTTCTTCCATAACGTAAATTTGCGCATATGTGATTAGTAACGCAGAATGATGGGTATCGATGGAAAAGTCACATTAGTTCAGAGGCAATTTTTCTTAGCCCATAATATTTCACATTCACATGGTAACAGCTGCTGAAATGCAAAGTCCCCAAACACAGCCGAATACAGCACAGTGGCAGATGCCATGTCCACGCACTGCATGAATTCTCCCTTGGCAGAGTTTCCCAAAAGCTTTCCTCACAAGTCCTACCGTATGGTGGTCCTAGGCTTTACGGTTTCTTCTTTCCTGTTCTTGTCTCGATAATCCAGGTGTTTTGATTCCTCTTTCTACCCACTCGTGTTATATTCACTTTTTTATCTTAATTGTTTTAAGTTTATTTATTTATTTGGAGAGAGAGAGAGAGAGAGAGAGAGAGAGAGCGAGCATGCACAGGAGAGAGGCAGAGAGAGAGGAAGAAAGAATCCCAAGCAGGCTCTGAGCTTTTAGCACAGAGCCTGATTTGGGGCTCAGTCTCACAAACTGTGAGACCATGACCAGAGCCAGTATCAAGAGTTGGACGCTTAACCAAATGAGCCACTCAGGTATCCCATATATTCTCTTTTTTCTTAAAGGTGAAGTCCAATGTTTTCTATAGTATTTACTGCTAAAAAGTAAGATGTGAACTATGTGAATATTTTTAGCAGTGTATTTAGTTATCCATCCATCCATCTATCTATCTCTCCGTCTATCCAGCATTGGGTTAAAAAGTTGCAAGCACGTAACTGAATTACTTACCTATTGAGTAGTCTGCCCCAACCTTGTTTTTCCCATAATCCCTGTTATTGTGAAGATCTCAGGTCTTTTCAGAAACCCATGTAACACATGGCAGAATCATCTGAACCTATTTCTACTTCTTAACCTAGCACAGACTCAGAGATAAATATAAGAAAGAAAATGGAAAGGGGACGCCATTTTTCTCCAAATCAGAGGTTCTTGAAGTGTGGCAATCTTGCCCTTGAGGGGACATGTGGCAATGTCTGGAGACATTTTTGGCTCTGTCACTGGGTGTAGGGGGTGGGGGAGGAGATACCACTGGCATCCAGCAGGTAGAGGACAGGGATCCTGCTAAACATCCTACGGCGCCCAGGATAGCACCCCCACAACAAAGAATTTTCCAGAAAATGTCAAGAGTGCCCCCGTTACGAAACCCCGCTCTGATCTTTAGGACGAACACTACAGTCATGATTAGCAGATTGTGAGCAGAGAAGGAGAAACACAGCTGTGCCGGAGGGTGAGGACAGAGAAGGAGGCCTGTGGATAATGGAGAGGGGACATCCGCGAACCTTGGCATGTGCAAACATTGAACACTTTATACAGTCTCCTCAAATGGCTGTTTTTAGAATCTTCCAAAGTTGGTTTACAATCACCCACGACAGCAGGTGGTTAAAATCGGCTTTTCCTCTAATTATCTCCTTGCTCCAGTGAGAAGACGCACACGAAGCAACACATCCAGGACCCACACGCTCCCTGATAGTCCACCGGCCCTCAACTTCACTTGAGCGTCATCTGTATGCTCGGCAGTTGTCGACAGAGACACCCCAGAGGTTCGTGCTAAATGAGATCTTTTTTTAAAAAAATTAATTATTCTGTCTAAAGTGAAAGAATCTTTGGAGAAATCTACCCCCACGGCTCCCAGGTGCTATGCTTTTGATTTCATGATATCCAAGGGTTGCTAAGAAAGAAAAAAAAAAAAAACAACCCAGCAGCACGTTGTGCCTTTGAGTGGCAAGAACGAGCCGTGAGCATGTCAATATACAATGGGAACCCGTCAGGATTAAGAAACGAAGGACTCGGTGGCTCTGGGTTCTGGGCCTGGATCCTGACAGACTGTGTCACTCAGATCTGGGTCACCAAGAAAGTGAAGGCTCCCTCCTCTAACGGGCTCCTGAGCTGGGCTCCAAAATGCCTGCACGCTGGCTTCCGGGATCATTTATTCTCTAAGGGAACGGCAGAAACAAAACAGTTCCCTCTTCTGTGTCCCAAGTTAAAAATCACCTAATTATTGTTATTCTCTGACACGGACACTGGTGTTCTCGAACTTAGTGTCAGAATGATGTGGGAAGCTTGTTTCACACGTACATCCGGGGCCTGTCATGGGCTGAATTCTATCACCCCAAATTCCTATGTTAAAGTCCTAATCCAGTACCTCAGAAAGTGGCCATATCTGGAGGTAGGATTGTCAAAAGAGGTCATTACAATCAAAAGAGGTCATACGAGTGAGCCCTAATCCAATCTAACTGCCGTTCTTATAAGAAGGGGGAATTGGGCCACAAACAGGCAGAAGGGGAAAGCCATGAGAAGACACTGGAAGAAGACAGCCTTCTATAAGCCAAGGAGGGAGATGGCAGCAAGCACCAATCCCACTCACACCTTGATTTCCTCTGGCCTCCAGAACTGGGAGAACATAAATTTCTTTCGTTAAACCAGCCGGTCTGTGGTACTTTGAGACAGCAGCCCTAATACAGGGCAGGGGGGTGCGCCTCCATTTTTCTGCAGGAATGCGGCCCCGGTGGTGAGCTGTCTTGACCACAGGGACTAAGATCACGCTCTGGGAATAGCTGAGCAACAGGACAGAAGGAGCCTGGGACCCAGATGACTCAGAGGAAGGAGTCACCAGGGGTAGACGACTTCAGACGGTCTACCCCTGGTAGATGGGAGGGAAATCAGTTCCATCTTGCTTAACACGTTGTCACTGTGGGTCTCTGTGACATGCAGCAAAGCGTACAGTCTAGTTAACAAGCTCCCATCTCGTCTCACCAGGTGGTGAAGCAACAGTTGGCACCGACAGCAATGGGGCCAGCCTACACCTTGCTTGTCCTGCCAGGATTGGCCTGCGCACCACCACAGACTGCAGGGCATCCTGTGCCTCTAGGACTGGGTGTCCCCGACACCAGCCACAGTTGATGCGATTGAGTATGGAATGGTCCGGAGTGTGAGCCACATCTGGAAAGCCCAGGCTCCCTCCTGCACTTGCCCTTCATGCCCGTTAACCTATCTAACCTGTCCTGCCAAACCCTACCCCTGTTTCAAATGGAGCTTGTGACAAAAAGTCTAAGTGGCCTTCAAGTATTCTTTTTAAGACACAGAGCTCAGAGGTGCCCGGGGAACTCAGTCGGTTAAGCCTCCGACTCTTGCTCTCGGCTCAGGTCATGATCTCACGGTTTGTGAGTTCCAGCCCCGCATCGGGCTCTGCGCGGACAGCGTGGAGGCTGCTTGGGATTCTGTCTCCCTCTCCTCCCCCCACCCCCTCCGCCACCCCACCCGTCCTCTCTCTCTCAATAAGTAAGTAAACCTAAAAATTTTTTTTAAAAAAGGCACAGAGCTCACAAATGCATTATGACTTTTATACTACTGAGACACGTGCAGACGTGCACAAGAGCATATACACCTGCTTCAAAAGTGTATAATCAATGTGTGACTCTACAACAGTGACTTTTCACAAACATATGATGGCTCAGACATTCTATTATGCATTAGGTCAAACCTTATGAAATCAGTGATATTCCATCATTTTTTTTTAAGCCTAAAAACAGTAATTTCTTGGGCTTCAAACTAATGACTTTGCCTCTATGACAGTCACTTCAGGGGGCACTCCAATGCCTTGAATAATTAAGAGAAATTTTTTTTGGAACATGTCCCTCGAAACTGTCATCCCAAGCAGCTGTATATAGGAGGAAACTGGGTTAGTGATGCTCCTCTAGCTTAAGGGTGAAAAAGTGAAGAAAACAGCTGGTGGGGAGGCCGGGGTGGGGAGTTACTAAATAAGCAAAGAACATAAAGTTTCAGTTAAGTGAGATGATTGCATCCCAGAGATCAGCTCTACAGTCAATGATAATGTAACATACGCCTAAAAACTTAAGATCTCACGCTAAGTATTCTTATCACAATAAAAAAAAAAAAACTGGTTAAAACTGATACAAAATAGGGGCGTCTGGGTGGCTCAGTCCGTTAAGCGTCTGACTCTTGACTCTGGCTCAGGTCATGATCTCACGGTAGGTGCGATCAAGCCCTGTGTGGGGTTCTATGCTGACAGTACAGAGCCTGCTTGGGATTCATTCTCATTCTCATTCTCATTCTCTCTCTCTCTCTCTCTCAAGAAATAAACATTTTTTTAAGCTTTAAAAAAAATTGGTATAAAACAAACTCCACGTAATTAAGAAACATCATGTGCGCAGGTGCACCAAGGAGCGCCGGGTGCATCACGCGCTGGGGGAGCGGGGCTCCCGCTCCTACCTTTCAGGGACACCCAGTAGTGCTTCCACTTCCTCCGGGTGGCCGACTCCACCTTCTTGTTCTTCTTGTGCACCAGGAAGTTCTTGACGGCCAGCGCCCCGGCCTTGCGCACCGTGCCCTGCGCCGCCGTGAGCAGGATGTCCGACTGGCCCGGGGAGCTCAGGGTGCCGCTGCTCTGCTCGTCGCTGTGCGCCGAGCCCGCCTCCTCCAGGCTCTCGCTGTTGGTGGTGCTCATCTCCAGCTCCCGCCGGAAATTCTCGTACACCCCCTGGCGGGCCGCATCCCCAGTGGAGCTGCTGCCGCTGTCGCTGCCCACAAAGGCGCGGCCGGTGGGGGGCGAGTAGCTGGAGTTGGTGGCATTGGATCGCCTGGACAGGAGGTCCGTGTCGGTGGTGGCCCCTTCGATCCCGCTGTCCGCAAACTCACTGCCCTCGCCGACATTAACATCCTTGGGAGCCGAAAAGGGAGAAAAAGAAGACGTACATCACGCAGAGAAGCAAGCCACAGACCGTGTGGCCGCAGGGCTGCGCGAGACCCATGGGGCGCTGCTGCTCCCACTCGGTCCTGGACCAATGACTCCTCAAGCCCCCGACCCACGCGAACCTAACCTGCCCGCAGAGCGGCTCAGGAAGACCACCACGCCACCCTGGCGTGAATCTGAACAGGCTGAAATGTTCAAGAAATTTATGTATTTAAAAACAAGGAACCTTCCAGAGAACTCACCATGTATCTGACTTAGGTAATTAACTAACTGGCGAATCCGCTACTGAGCTTCTCCCACCGCTGTGGCTGGGCGCCCCTCATCAGTCTGCCCAAAACTCCAGGAAATTCTGCAGGCTGATCAGTGCTTGCAGAGGTAGGGGTTACAATGGAGAACAAGGTCTTTACAGCTAATACTTTTTTTTCTTTTTTTTTTAAATAAAGAGCCTGGAGTTAGGAGTCTGTTTTGTAATGTGGGGACTAAAAAGATACCTAGCATACCGCCTCACCCACTCACCCAGCAAGGACCCATGTCCCACGAGCAGGCAAGAGTCCTCATGCTGGAACCAGCTTCGCTTCTTGAAAACAAGCAGCCTCTCACCCTGCATGGAGCTAAATAAGTCTGTGGGGCCCACAGCTCCAGTACAGGCTCTCCAATTACCTTGCCCTTTCAAAGCCGGGATGCTAAGAGCCCAAAGCAAGCTACTCACTGCCCCCGGGCCAAGTGACAGCTTGCGGCAACTGCCAGTGTGTGGGGGGGGTATCAATTCCCAGTCTAAAAACATTTGGAACTTCCAAAGCACAGTCCCTGCTCTCAGGTTGAACACTTCCGGGACACAGACAGGTCTGTTCTTAAACCAGAGTCTTAACTGCACTAAAGTGCGACCGGCATATCCATAAGCAATAATTAAATAATGGTAGTCATCAAGGAAGGATAATGATAGCACTGTTGGACAGGACAGCTCAACAGCCTCATGGATAAGAAGTCAGACTGATTTTTCTCAAAGGAAGAGAACAGGAACAGGGGTCTGACATAGTGGTATAGATGGTAAAGTAATACATGCTTTGGGGATTTAACCATTTTTTGAGCCTTAAGTCTCGTAAGCATCTAATTGTGGTTCGAAAATGTAAAAACTGACAGTTCTGGGTTGGCATAAAAATGAATGCTTTGGGCTCAAATATTTGCTGAGAGGCAGTGGGGCCGAATGAACCAAGCCACAGACGAGCACTGTCCTGCGTGAAGCCCAGACAGGTGCTGAGCCCGGATCTCTAAGCATCACAGGCAGTTCTAAGTTAGGGCCTCAAAGTTCACTTCACCTTCATCGTGAATAGATACTAAGTGAACAACTGAAAGATGGGCGTAGCCAGATGTGACAAACAGGAGACCCAGAACGACAAATGCTCTATGATTCACTCGGGTGGAATCTAAAACTGTTGAATTCAGGGGCGCCTGGGTGGCGCAGTTGGTTAAGCGTCCGACTTCAACTCAGGTCAAGATCTCACGGTCCGTGAGTTCAAGCCCCGCGTCGGGCTCTGGGCTGATGGCTCAGAGCCTGGAGCCTGCTTCCGATTCTGTGTCTCCCTCTCTCTCTGCCCCTCCCCCGTTCATGCTCTGTCTCTCTCTGTCTCAAAAATAAATAAATGTTAAAAAAAATTTTAAACAAATTATATATAT